TCCTGAGTGGGTGCTCAGTAAACACTTGCTGGACAAATTAATACATTTTGAGAACAAAGAGCCATGCTGGCAGAAGTGTGCAGCCTTGAAAAGGCCACACTAATTCAGGCTTTCTGAATTAAAATGGTGTTACCATGTAACTGTGTGTGTCAACAAAAAAGGTCAAGTGTGCCTAGGGGTCTCCTTTATAGGGTGATGGACAGCTCGGTAGCTGGTGCTGGGGAGGGGGCATTGCAGCTGCTTTTGTCCCCAGGGATCTTACGGTTTCCCCTCCGCTGTTCAGGAAGGGAACTGGCAGGAAAGAGGGCCTACCCTACCCCTCCTCCAGCACTGCCTGGCCCTGCACACCATGGAGGGTGAGCAGACTGGAGGGAGACAGACCCCTGGCGGGGGATGTGTCCAGAACCAAGAGTGATGGAGAAGCTGATTCTGAGCACCGAGGTCCAAAGGAAAGAATCCTAAAAGCAGGGTGGAGAGTAGCTGCTGGGTCATTGGCAGCTTTCCCTCCCCTCATCTCCTCCCCCCAAGGCCAGGATGTGGAGAAGGCTGGGTCATTCCTGGTTTCTCAGCTCGGCTCCACCTGCAGACACCTCTCTCCCCTCTCCCCACACCCTCCATCCCCGGATTTCTGCAGCTTAAAAGCTTAAGCGTGACCTCGAAAGCCGAATGCGTGTGCCCTGTTGATTCCTCCCTCCTCCCTGGTGGGGATTCGAGGGCAGGCTTGGCTCCTCCCAGACACGCAAGCATCGTGCCCTTGACATGGCCTGGGGGCCTCCAATCCCAGCAAGCCCATGAGAGCAGTTTTTCTCAGAAAGCTGGGGTTGAACTGCATCAGCATTCAGATCCTCACGTGGCCAGTCGAATCTCACTCGCTCCTTGCCCCCTCGGCTGGTTTTGTCTCCTCTTTTGCTTTCACAAAGCAAGGTTCCTCCTCTGGAACAGTGGAGACAGAACTTGTGTCAAGGGAGATGTCTGTAAATTAACATCCTCAGAGTGACCGGCCGCTTGTCTGGGCTGAGTGCTGTGCGTGCATTGTCTGTATCACTTAATCCTTCAGCAACCTGATGGGCAGGTTCTGTTGTGATCCCCATTGATGGGTGAGACGTCACAGCCCCTGAGATGCTAAGCAACTTGCTGAGGTAGTGCAGGTAATAAATAATGGGCAGAGGCACCTCCTGAAACCTAAGGCTTCGGCATCGAAAGGCGGTGTCCGGAGCAGCTGCTTGGGCTGGCTGCAGGTTAGAGTTGTTGCTGTTGGTGACAAAGGTGGGAGGGACAGAGTTCCTGCTGTGCATGTTCCATGGTCTGTACCCCTGTAGGCCAGTTCCTAGAGGATTTGACTCTTGAAATGGGGAGTGGAGTGGTCCCAGCTACCCGTGCCACCTGGGGAGGTGAGGCGGTCATCTGCCAGCTTGCAGCCTTTAATATCCATACCGGGGAGTGCCACACACGGTAATGGTAACTATTTCACCTCCTTGCGTGGCAGCTTTTGTGATCCTGGCAATCTTGGGATTGCTACTGAAGAAACTGAGGGACAGAGAGGTTAAATGACTCTGCCAGGGTCCCCCAAGTTCGTGGGTAGTTGAGCCAGGACTCTGATCCGGGTCTTCCATCTCCTGTGCAGCGTGACTTCCACCCGTGTTAGAGGAAGCCCCTAACCCTAGATGAGGATCAGAGGGTCCCCCTGTGAGTCCTGGCTTATGTGGCTGCAAGCACTGAGTCTTATTTGAGCCTCATTTGAACCTCATCTGGAAAGCAGGGACATCGATGGCTGCAGTGCCTGCTTCATGGGTTCAGGACGTGTCCAGAAGACTTGGGTGGGCACAGAGGGCAATGGGGCATTAGCAGCTGGTAGCTCTGCTGCTTAAACTCTGTCTTTGCTGGCAAAATGAAGGCCGTGGATGGCATCTGCTCCCCTCCGCTGCCCGCCGACATACACGTGGGGTTGCAGAGCAAGGCACTGTGGCTGAACCAGCAGACGTCTGTTCCCAGCAAGGACAAAGCCATTTATAATCCACATCCCCTCCCTGCTGGAGGCAGGTATGTCCTTGTAGCGGAAAGGCAGCATTATTTTATTCTAATTTTCAATGAATTCCCAGGATTGAATAAATTACCGGCTCTCAAAACACTGGTTTGAAGAATCAGGAACTGCCTCGAATTTTCATGGCAGAAATGTCCATTGATCTGCGCTGAAAGATCCCAGACAGCTCTGTGCTCCTGGAACAAGATCCTGGCCGCAGGAATGCCGTCTCCCTCTCTCTAATTCTCCATCTCTGAGCCGACAAACCTTGAGGCAGATCCATGCCCTTGAACTGAGAGTAGCAATTTTATTAAAGAAGTTTGATTACGGGAAAAGGAAAAAGAAAGAGGGAAAGAATCTATATTTCATTAAATGCTGCTTGTTTTTAAGTAGGAGCGTTTTCTGGGTGTCTGGGGAGCTGCTGTTTTCTGGTCTTGTTGGAAGAATCTGATGTTGAAAAACAGAAAAGTTTCCGTAGAAGGGAGAAACCACCACTCTCAGTTTGGGCCAAATTGTATTTACAGAGAAGGGATTTTTGTCCTGGAAACTTATTTAACTAGCATTGATTGAGTGCCCACTATGAACCAAGTACATTGAAGCATTTGCAATGATAATGAAAATGTTCTAATAGGTTGAGATGGTACAGATGGTTATTTTTGTTAGTGTTCATCAGTGTTTCTTCAATTGATTGACACGGTCTGTTGAGAACCTACTGTGTACCAGGCCTGGCCGAGGCGCTGAGGATGCGTTACAGGGCAGGGTGGATCCCTGCCTTCCGGAAGCTTCTGGTCTAGCTGACAGGATGTGCAGAACTGCCATTAACAACAAAGTACTTATCCGTTGGTTGTGTCAAATCAGGGAGAGAGAAGGCATTATTCCTCCATTACCCATGAACATTCTGGGTGTTGAGAGGCAGACCAGTTACTCAGACCTCTTGAGGGTGTCAGGGATCATACCTGAACCCCGAGTGCTTGATTCCCAATGCAGGGGGCTCTGCACGTCACGGGGCTGCCCACCCTCCAGGGTGATGAGAGCCCATAACAGGAGTGGTGGTGCCCGTCCTGGCAGGGGCATTCTTGGGGCCAAAGGAGGGCCTATGACATGGTGCTCAGTGACCCAAGATGCCGGTGGAAGCACACCTTGCACCTGATGGGCCTGATGGGTGCAGGGGATACTGGGACAAGGACCGACGCGCTCAGCCCTCATTCCCTCCCTTGCTCAGCCTTGGGTCCTCCTCCAAGATTTACCTCGAGCCTCACCTCCCATTGGTCATCCTCCCTGTGCCCTGCAGCTCTTCTGAAAGAGTGCTCACCTGGGAGCAGTTTTTCTGGTACCAGCACTGCCATCCCTGACCCTGCCGATGTCACTTGACCTCTTTGGGGTCTTGGCTTCCCCATCTGGAGTGACAGATCTGTCATGGATGGGAGGAGAGCTTGAGAGAAGAGGCTCGTGGGCCGGGGATAAGCTGGAAGGACCTTGCAGGAGAGCGCCTGTCCCTGAGCTATGGGGGTGGGGGAGTGCGTGCCAGAAATGACTGCAGTGGGAGGGGACAAGGATACCTCTCTTCCTTTCATGGAGCCTGCTTCTCAATTCTGACCTGGCAGTGGTGCAGGAAGAATATTCCAGAATCTTGGGAGGGCTGATTTGAAGCTTACCACAAGTTTGAAATGCTTTAAAAGGAAGGCATGTTATTAAAATCCACCTCACCGTTTTACCAGTGAGGAAACTGAGGCACAAAGAGGTTAAGGAACGTGTCCCTGTCGACACAGCCTGGGATCAGAGCCAGGATCTGAGCCTGGCAGTGTGATGTGGAGCCTGCCCTCCTGAGCGGGGCTGACTGTCTCCAGCCTCAGCCTGACCGTTGGCAGGAATTGGGTCCGTAACAGGACCAAGTGTGTGTCGCAGCCACTGGGGAAGGTCTCTGCCGGGAATGTGATCAGAATCCTTTGACAAAGCACAGAACCATCCCCTGATTTTCCTCTTTAGGGTCTTTTGACTTTTTTGTGCTTCTTTTTGCTAACAGTTTTATTGAGATATAGCTCACATGCTGTACAACTCACCCATTCAGTGGCTCTGAGTGTATTCAGAATGGTGCAAGCGTCCCCCGAAACAACTTTAGAACATTTCCATTACCCCAGAAAGAAACCTTGCACCCCTTAGCTGTCATCCCCCATCCCTCTGTACCCCCAGCCCTGGGCAGCCACTAACCTGCCTCTGTCTCCATAGATTTGTCTCTGCTGAACGTTTTCTATTAATGGGATCATGCAATATGTAACTGGCATCTTCTCACTTAGCAGAATGTTTTCAAGGTCCCCCCACGTTGTAACATGTATCAGCACTTCGTTTCTTTTTATTGTCAAATGATATTCAATTGTATGGATATATCACATTTTATTTATTCATTCATCAGTTGGTGGATGTTGGGGTTGTTTCCACATTTTAGCTTTTATGGATAATACTGCCATGAACGTTCATGTGCAAGTTGTGTGTGGACATACGTGTTCATCTCTTGGGTAGATCCTTGGGAGTAGAATCGCTGGGTCATATGGTGAGTCTGTGTTTAACCTTTCAAGGAACCGCCAGACTGTTTTCCAAAGTGGCTGCACTATTTTACGTTCCCGCCAGCAGTGTATGAAGTTTCCAGTATCTCCTCATCCTTGTCAACACTTACTATTATCTGTCTTTTGATTATAGCCATCCTAGTGGATGCAAGGTGTTTCATACTTTTTTTTCATTGCAAGGGATATGTAAAACATGATCAACTGGAAGGTGCTAGAATATCTGTGGATAGTTCAGTATCCAGCAATGTCCTCCTCGGAGTGCAGGTCTGCCCTGGACCGAGGAGAAGTAGCTGGCCCCCTCCCTGGGCACTTGAGAGCGGGGTGGGCTCTGCAGTCCTGTGGTGGCACCCAGGCCTGAGCTGAGGCTCGCCAGGGGGCCCGCTGATAACTGACACTCTGTGTGTCCTCTTGTCTTCCAGCCATTCACGAGTTCCCCACAGACCTGTTCTCCAACAGGGAGCGACAGCACGGAGCCGTCCTGCTGCACATTCTTGGGGTAAGTGGCCCTCACGGGGTGGGACGGTCGCATATGCCAGGCCGGTGAAGCCTGTCTGCAGAGCTCGGCGCAGCCAGAGCGTCTTGGAGGTCTCATCCGGTCCTCATAAGAGCCCTGTCGGGGGCAGATACTGGACCCATTTCACCCACAAAGAAATGGAGTCTTTAGGGTGTTAGGTGACTTGCTCATTGTCACACAGCAGGTGGCCCCAGAGCCAAGACAGGAATTCCAGTCTTCTTGTGCCTCATTTTCTGCTTTTATAAAACGGGGAATGACAGCACCTCTCAGATGTACAAATATGCGTGCGTGTGGATGAAGGGCATCAGACACTGCAGGACGCAGAGTGAGTGTTCTGTGCGTGCTTGCTATGATTCCCATCACGCCCCCAGATGTTACCACCCTGACATAACTATAGTTTAGAACTTGGGTGCACTTCTTTTTTTTTTTTTTTTTGAGGAAGATTTGCCCTGAGCTAACATCTAACATCTGTACCAGTCATCCTCTATTTTGTATGTGGGACGCCACCACAGCATGGCCTGATGGGTGGTGTAGGTCCATGCCTGGGATCTGAACCTGTAAACCCAAGCTGCTGAAGCAGAATGCACTGGAGTTAACCCCCATGGCTTGGGGCCGGCCCCTCAAACTTGGGTGCATTTCTTCTCAAACTTCCCTCTATGTTTATATGAGCTTAGATGACAATTGGTAGAGTTCAAATAGCAATTCAAAAAAGAATAGTGGCTTGAAGCCTAAATTATAGGTACAAGTCACCCTTCTCTGACAGGAGTAGGCAAACTACGGCCCTTGCCCTTGCCCGTGTTTGTAAATAAAGCTTTATTGAACACAGCCATTCCTATTCATTTCTATCCAGGCATACCTCGTTTTATTGCATTTTGCTTTTTACACTTCACAGATATTACATTCTTTTACAAGACCCTCCAACCAACAAAAAGATTAAGACTTACTAAAGGCTGAGAGGATGGGGAGCATGTTTTAGCAATAAAGTATTTTTAATTAAGGTATGTGCATTGTCTTTTTAGACACAATGCTATTGCACACTTCATAGACTACAGTATAGTGTAAACATAACTTTTATATGCGCCAAGACACCAAAAACTTCACGTGACTCGCTTTATTGCGGTGGTCTGGAACTGAGCCCGCGACATCTCGGCGGTGTGCCTGTGCTCTCCCTGGCTGCTTCGCGATTCAGCGGCAGGACTGAGAAGGTGTGACGGAGACGGCCTGGTTCACAAAGCCAACAATATTTACCGTCTGTCCCTTTGCAGAAGAAGTGTGCTGACGCTGTTGAATGGCGTGGGCAATGAAGGCGGGCACGGTTTGCCCTTCCACGTTGGATCAACCACGGCAAATTTTCCTCCTGATTACGATCCCCAGCACCCACCACCATCTGCTCATATGTGTAAACCCAACCAACTATTAGTCTTTGCAAGAGATAATTAAGAAAGCGAAAGCTGGGATTCGCACATGGAGAGTGGCCACTGGGGAATTGTGAATGAGTGAGGTTTTAATTAACAGGATAAACCATTAATGAAAACGAAGGTTAGAATGGAGGTTGTAGGCAGATTTTGAATGACAGGCCCGTATATTGCTTCTGTAATGGAGTTAGTACCTTCCTGTTTCTCTGGCTTTCCCACACCCTCCCCTTTCCCTAAGGGCTTGGTGAATTAGTTCCATCGTTCTGTCTTCCTGCTCCATGAAAGTCTTGGTGTTGCTGAGACAAAACCTTTTTTCCTGAGCCTGAGGGCACCTCAGGATTCAGCAGGAACCCTTCAGAGCAGGTTACCAAGCTGTGGCTGGAGGGCCCATCCGGCCCGCCTCCTGTTTTTGTAAATAAAGTTTTATTGGAACACAGCCACGCCCATTCGTGGCTGCCCTTCCACGGCAGCAGTGATCCTGACGGACTGTGTGGCCGTCAAAGCCTGAAACACTTACCACCTGACTCTTTAAAACAGTTCGCTGACCCTTCATCAGAGCAAGAAGCGGCTGGAGCTCCCCAGCCAGCGTTTGTCTGCCGCCTCTCAGGGCTCCCGGCCACGTGATGGAAACAGTGCCACCAGCCTGGTCCCCTTGCTCTCCAGGGCCTCTGAGGCATCTTCCGCCTCCTGGGGGGCCCTCTGCCTGGGAGATGAGCTTGGCCACAACTGATGGAGCTTCTGCTTTATTTACTCACAATTAATTACGAGGTTGTTGGAGTATCCCACTCTTTTGGGTGAAGCAGCCCAGCCTTTCTCTCTTTTGCAAACAGGGCATTCATATCATTTTGTCTTTGAAGAAAGAAATGGCTTCCCCCCAGCGCTGAGCACAAAATCCCATTGCCTTTCCATGGGTCCTCATCCTTGTGTCTCCCCCCAACCTCATGCTCTCCGTTTTCCACCTCACTCTCACTCTGCTCTACCTGCCCTGGGGACCTGGCTGTTCCTCAAATGCACCAAGCTCGCTCCTGCCTCAGGACCTTTGCACTTGCTGTTTCCTGGCACTTTTGCCTATTTGTTTATTTGTGCCCCACTGAGGTCACTTCAAGAGGCAGAGGCTTTTCCTGGCATTCTCTCCTTACTAGCGCCTGGCACACAGGATGAGCTCAGTAAAGCCCTGGTGGTAGACAGGGCAGGGAGGGGTTCTGTGTATAAAATCATTTTAAAACTACTGATCTCGTCTTATTCTTTCATTAAACAGATGAAGAAACTGAGACCCAGAGATATGACTTGCCCAAAGTCACATGGCACCTAAGTCCCGGGATCAGCCTTAGAATCTGGACTCTGTTCCGTGAACCTCCCAATGCCAGTGGCTTACGTGTTTTAACCTGTGTCCACATCAAGTAGCATCCCAGGAAATGCTGGCTCTCAAGTTGCCATTTGTTTTGGCGGGAGCGGTGGGGGGAGTTAGATAACAGGGAAATGGTGCCATCACTAAAAATGGAGAAGATCAGGATGATGACTATTTTAAAGTCTTAGAATGGTGATTCTAAGTGCTTTCCTTCCTGGCCTTAAAGGTCAGATCCTGCCTTTCGAGGGCACAGTCTGGTGCTGGCAGAGCTGCTGCTTTAAGAAAGGAAGGAGCACGGTGCCATGGGCCTGAGGTTTAGTCCCCTTTGCTGCTCAGCAAGTTATTTTCCCCCTCTGGGCCTCTGTCTCCCCATCTGTCAGTGAGGGGACTGAGAGAGCAAATCTCTGTGGTGCTGGAATTTTCCTCCGCCCCGGCAGGCTGGTTTGGGGCATGGTGGATGCCGACCGCGCCTCCTCAGCAGCAGCTGACGCGTGGTGTCTCCGTGTTTCCTCTGCAGGCTCTGTACATGTTCTATGCCTTGGCCATCGTGTGTGACGACTTCTTTGTTCCATCTCTAGAGAAGATCTGTGAGGTACGTGGGAGGGACCTGGGACCCCCTGCGAAGCCTGGGAGGGGGCTGGGGGTGACGGAGGACACGTTGCATGTCAGGGTCAGGCCGAGAAGGACTGGAGTGGGGAACACTTCTGGCGGTGAAGGTTGTCAGGACAAGAGTATTGTCGCCACGGCGAACCCTCAGCCTGAAACCCCCAGATTGGAGTTGGCGGGTGGTGTCCCCGACACGAGTTTGGCAGAAGAAAATGCGACCAGTGTGCCATCCTTACCCAGAACCTCCTGCTCCGCTGGAGGCCATCGGTCGTTAAGCCACCCACGGTTAGTTCAGGAGCATTTGTCATAACCAGCTGCAGTTGGCAGGTACCAGGTGGGACCTGTGTTCCTAGGGAGAGGATGCCTCTTGTCCCAATCTTCGCAGACTAACGTTTTCTCCTTTTAATTCCTTTGTTGATCTGTGTGTGTGAGGAAAATTGGCCCTGAGCTAACATCTGTGCCCACCTTCCTCTACTTTTTATATGTGAGACGCTGCCACAGCATGGCTTGGTGAGTGGTGCATAGGTCCATGCCCAGGATCCAGACCTGCAAACCCGGGGCTGCCGAAGTGGAACGTGTGAACTTAACCACTATGCTACCAAGCTGGCCCCCTTTGTTAATTTTTCACTTTCTTTTCGTCTTTCTCCCCGTATACAAGACCCCCGTCTGTCTCTCTACGCTGCCTTACTCTTGGCTTCTGGCCGAGGAAGGAAAATATCCTCTGTCTTCGGCACCTGCTGCGTGCACCCTGGTCCGGGCTTTGCCACGCGTAACCCTGTGAAACCTCTCAGCTGTCAGAGGCCATATTGTTGTGACAGTTGCAGCTGGGGACATGGACTGTCAGGGGCAGGCTGTTACTCTACCCCACTGCTCAGCACAGGACAGGGACAGGCTGCGTTTGACCTGGGTCCCCTAGACAGTGAGGGACCTGGCAGAAGTGCGCAAAGGGACCTCCCCTCCTCCCGACCCTCCCCCCCCACTCAGATGGAGCCACGTGCTCACCTCGATCTGTGAGAGAATCAAGCCCGAGAAAGAGCGTAAGGAAACGACCACTGGGGATGTCAGGACAGGAGGCTCAGCCTCAGGATGGAGTCCTGGTGTGGCGTGCTGAGGGTGCAGTGGTCCCTGCAAGTGGCCTGTCGCTTCTTGGAAGGAGGCCCTCAGGAAAACACAGTCAGCTGGTCTCACAGAACATGCACCCCGGGCACTCACTAATGTGAGAGCGTGGGGGCCCACAGCAGCAGGGTTGGGCCCCCTGCCCCTCTGGGGTTGACAGGAGCCCGTGGAAGATGGGTAACTGGTGACACAGGACTGTGTACTATAGAGGTGCCCCGTGAGGTTATCTGTCCCCTTAAGGACACAGAAGTAAGTAAGGGTGATGGTCTTGGCCCTGGAAAGGGCTCAGTGAGAGCCATCAGAGGACTAAGGGGCTGAAAAAAGGGAGGGAGCATCTCTATTGGAGAGAAGCCCTGGAAGGGTTCATGGAGGAGGTGGCATTTGGTCCAGGTTTTGGCAGTGGGAAGGATGTCTGCATGCAGAGAGGGAGGAGAGGGAAAGAGGAGGGAATGGCCCAGGCAAAGGCAGGGAGGAGGCAGGACAGGATGTAGCATGGTTTGGATTCTGCTGGAAGCTATTGGAGATGCTCTGATGGCAGAACCTCTTCTGTGGAACCTTCCTCTTTGACTGGGTTAAGGTGGCCGGACTTGGACCCTGGAGGTCAGTGCTGTACCCCTGCCTCCGCTTCTGTCAAGCCCAGAGCTCTGACCCCTCTGAGGACCCCTTTGGCAGCAAGCTCAGCAGGGAGGTTGTGCTGGCCCGGGGGTTCCTCCGTGGCTCTAGAGCCCGGGGCTGCTCAGGGGTACTTTCGGAGGTGGGAGATGGGGCGGCCGAGCCCTGCCCTGAGCCAGCCTGCCCAGAGGCCTCCTGAGAACCGCAGGGCGGCGCCTTTAAGTGGATGACGGGCAGCCCCAGCATCTCGTGGTTTCTCCAAGCGTCAGAAGAGAATGAAGAGGAATTGACAGACGGGGAGCAGGGGATTCTGGGCTGAGGGCCCGGCGGGGTGGCAGGGGGCACGTGCTCAGGGTGCAGGGAGGAGAGGCTGCCGGCCACAGGCTTGGCCCTGGCTACAGCGCTGCTCCCTGTGCTCTCCCTGGCTGCCAGAGTGACCAGTTAGCATGTCTGCTGCCCCCATGTCATAGCCTGTGGTCACTTCTGTTTCAGAAACTCCACCTGAGTGAGGACGTGGCCGGCGCCACCTTCATGGCTGCAGGAAGCTCGACACCCGAGCTCTTCGCCTCTGTTATTGGTGAGAAACCCCCCGGCTGGATTCACAGGGTCTCGAAAGAGCCTCAGTCTGGGGCCCTGACCAATGGGGGCATTTGTCAGCTCTGAGCCTCAGTTTTCTCATCTATAAAACGGGAGAGTTGGAGAGACAGAAAGTAGACGAGTGGCTCCCTGGGGCGTGGGGAGGAGGGGGTGCTGGTGGGTCCCAGGTTTCTTTTCAGGGTGATGAAAAGGTTCTAAAAGTAGATTGTGGTGATGGTCGCACGATTCTGTGACTAAGAACACTGAGTTGTATACTTTAAATGGGTGGATTTTGTGGCGTGTGAAGTGTATCTCAATAAAGCTGTCCATAAAAATGGGAGGACTGGGTAGCCGGGCCCCAAGGGCATGTCCACTCTCTGGTTTTGCCATTCTCATCAGCATCATGGGCGTTCTGTCTGATGGAGGAATGACTCCCCTTGGTTCGTGGGAGGGGAGCCAGGCCTCACAGCCAGCCTGGGTCTGGGGGGGCAGGCGGGGGCCCTGCAGACAAGGATTGGTGCCCTTCCCTACCCAGGTGTGTTCATCACCCACGGAGACGTGGGGGTGGGGACCATCGTGGGCTCTGCCGTGTTCAACATCCTGTGTATCATCGGAGTGTGTGGATTGTTCGCCGGGCAGGTCAGTGGTTTCTCTCCCTGGCCTGACTGACGAGTGCCCTTTAGTGGTGGGATGAGCCCTGGTGAAGTGACGTGAGGGGCAGGAGGGGGAGACCCAAGGCCCAGCCTCAGCTGAGCCCCTGACTCCCTGTGGCTTTGAGCGACCCGATTTCCCCCTCTGAGCCGGTTTCCCCGTGTGTCCCAGCGGCGTGTGACATTCCTCCCCCTCCTGCAGTCAGTGGTCTGAGGGCAGGAAGAGCGTCGGCTCGTGGCCAGTCCGGGGGTGAGCACTCACTCGACAACAGTCCATATTTAAGGGGCGCCTCCTGAGCCAGACTCTGGAAATATCTTGGACCTGCCTTTGGCCTCCCCGGCAGGGAGCGTGAAGCTGGCTTGTTGTCGAAACCCCATCATCACCCTCCTGGTCCTCAGGGCCACGGGGGGACATTAGACTTGACTCAGAGAGTCGGGCTCGTGGGTGGGCCTGCCCTGCCGCGGGAGGTGGAGGTGAGCAGTTACCGCCAGAAGTTTCCAGCATCGAGGGGGAGAGCGAGGGCCTCTGGGCTCCGCCTCAACGCGGGGCTTCTGCTGCGAAACATGATGTTGTCCCCTTGGAGGAGTGGGGGCAGCCTCACCATCACTTACGAACACAACGAGGCTTCGTTCTGTTCCCCAAATGTAATGAAGAGCACGGGCGGCCGTGAGCAGCCAGGCGAGATTTGTTGCTGGTGGCACAGTTAGGAGGAGCTCCGTGGGTGTGTCTCTGCACCCCTGGGGTGTGGGGGTGGTGGGGAAGCCCCTCACCCCCTCCCCACTCTCGTGCCCCCAGCCCACAGCAGCTGACGGCCCTTTGCCCGGCAGGTGGTCCGTCTGACGTGGTGGGCCGTGTGCCGAGACTCCGTGTTCTACACCCTCTCTGTCGTCGTGCTCATTGCCGTGAGTTGCCCTCCTGCCCACCTCTGTCCCTGGCGCTTTAACCAGAGGACCCAGCACCCCGACTGGGGGGTGTGCAGACCACTCATTGCAGTCACGTTGACCGATCCCCCTGCCACTGTGCCTGCCTCTCCCGAAAACCTCACACCTCACAGCTTCGTTATGGAGCGAGTCCAGGGCCCACTTGAATTCAGAAAGGCCTTGAAAAACCCAGGACACGTGTTGCAGGGTCTGTGCAACTAAGCTCAAGCACTTTGCTCATCAGAGGCCCTTCATACCCTCACTTTGAGCCCTTTTACTAAGAAGCAGAGTTTCTGGTTTCACAGCTTGCTGCACAGCAGAAAAAACAGAGGCCAGCACGGGGGCAGAGAGAGAAAAGGCAGGGGAGCCAGAACAGAGATCCCTGGGGCCTGTGAGTGTGTGGGGCAGCCCTGTGGCCCCTCCATGGGCTGGGGTGACATCACGGCATGTGACAGTGGCACAAGAGTGAAGCACACGACACAGCTACTGCCAAGGAATGCATCATCCACAGATTTCAGACAAAAATGAGCTTTGAAGTGGTGGCACAAGGCCAGGTCATATTTGATGAAGGCGTGCCCAGATTTTAGGGTATGGAATGTGCCCTAGAGTGACAGTTCTTAACCTTACAAGATCTAGCACCCACTGTTTATGACAATCATGTCCCTTGTATTAGTTATCTATTGCTGTGTAACAAATTTCCCCAAAACTCAACAGCTTAAAACATTTATTGCTCCCATTTCTATGGATCCAGTGTGGGAGTGGCCTGGCTGAGTCCCGGGGCTCAGGGTCTCTCACGGATGTATAGTCATCTCAAGGCTCCCCTGGACAAGGATCTGCTTTCAGGATCCCTCGGGTGGCAGTTGGCAGGCCTCAGGGCCTTCCTCGCTGGCTGTGCCATAGTGCACCTTGCAACACGGCACCTGGCTCCCCTCGGAGTGAGGGTGAGAAAGAGCCGAGATGGAAGCCACAGTCTTTTTGTAACCCAACCTCAGAAGTGACAGCCCATCAATTTTGCCATCTTCTCTTTGTTAGGAGCTAGTCCCTAGGTCCAGGCCATGCTCAAGGGGAGCATGAAGTCAGGCAGGGAGATCAGTGGGGCCATCTGAGAGGCTGCCTACCACCCCCTAAAAATGAAAGTTGTAGATAAAATAATTTACCTATACACAATTTCAAAAAACATGTTTAACACCAAACTATACTATAAAAGACAAATAAAAGTGATTTATAATAAAAGAGTGCATCTTTCAGTGTGTCAATGTTTTGGCATGAAGATGCTAGAACACCTGATGATGTAATCTCTTGCCCTCAAACAGAAAATCTCCGGGCCCAGCAACCACCAGCGCAGACCCAGGCCCGTGTGCTGGGCCGGCGTCTCAGGCCCCAGGAGTGGTGCCGACACTGATGACGTGATTTTCCAAAATTATGGATGACTCCTGATAAAATCTTAAATAGAGCTGAGCATAGTCATCCTTCTATTTGTATGACAGTGACCTCCTAGAAAATTAAGATTTATTAAAACCATGTAAAAATATGTTGATTTGTACTATAGAGTTAAATTCTAGCTTAGGGGTTTTTTTTCCACTTGCCTGAATTTTTAGCAGGACATTTAAGACGTGTCACATATGGAAAAACTCCCCCGATCGAACCTTTTCACATGTTCCAAGCTGGCTAGCACCCCTGACCTTCACTGCCTCTAAATGCCAGGAGCCCTCCATTGGATTGTAAAAATATCCCCATAAAGCAGGGCGAGGGGGGCGGCTAGCACTGGGCTCCCCTCTGTTGAGGGCCACTTCTCAGAGCCTTCGGTCTGTGGAGCCTCGCAGAGATGTCCAACCAGGCTGATCCTCCTAGAAGTAGGTTCCCGAAGCAATTCCTATGTGTGCTGCCCACTGTGAACAAGGAGAAGGGGTGCCATGGGTCCAACTCCAGACAACGGCCCGCTGGCCTCTCCTGGCATCCCCTGTAGGAACCTTTGTGTCTCCGAGAATCAGATTGGTGGACACAGCCTGTCCACACTGGACCTGGCTGGGGCGGTCACAAGACTCCACCCCTGGACCACAGAAGCATCATCTATCCGTGTCTGTGTTGAAGATGCTGGGTGTGGTTTTTGGCAATATGAGTGCCCCCTTAGGAAGCGTGGACTCCCCTCCCTCACCCCGAGTCTCCCTTCAAATGGTTTAAGTCGGATCTTAGCCCTCAGAATTCCCAAAGGGGTTACTCTTTATTTTTAAGAAAATGACTCCCCTCCTCTCCTATCCAGGCCCCATAGATAGATAAATAGGTACATACATACATCTATACATAGATGCTTTTTTAGTTTTTAGGATTTTTTATTTTAGCAACTCTATTCCGTTAGCGAGGGCCGGTCCTCAGCAGCCACGTGGGCCATAATGAAGCATAGGCCGTTTCTCTTGTGCAGCCCACACGGCCACATATCGCAGCATCTGCTGTCCTAGGTTTCAACTAGAGAAAGGTCACCTTCTGCAGCTGAGAAACCCTGAGATGGAGAAGGAGCGTAGCTTCCTATAAGACACGTTAACAAGCCAGTGTGAGCTGGCTCTGTGTTTGTTCTCTTGGAATAAATATGTCCCCCCACCCTTTGTCTCTTTTGCCTTCCAGTTCATATATGATGAAGAAATTGTGTGGTAAGTTTTGAACATTTGTTTTCGCTCCTTTGTTGTTAGTATCCTTGTTTGTTGGGTTCGTTGGGTCTTTCTAAAAATTATTTTTGCAAACATAAAGCTTACGAACTTGTGAAAGTAAAAAGGCTGTCATTCTAAGCAATCACGCCTTTATTTATCCTTTCAAAGTGACAGAAATTGTTTTCTTTAATAGTTCCACCTGCCGGATATCGAGATACATTATAGAGCTAAAATAATGAAAACGGTATGGCGTTTTTGCACAGAGATAAGCATAGGCCAGTATGGAGCCGAGAACCCAGCAATGGGCTCACATCTGGGCTGGAGGATCTGACAGGTGTCAAGACAAGGCAGTGAGCTAGGGAGGGGTCTCAGATGCCGCTGGGACACCTGGGAATCCATGCGGAACAAACCAGCATCAGATCCCTTCCTCACACCCTCCACAAGAATAAATTCCAGATGAATTAAAGATCTCACTGTAAAAAGCAAAATTACAACAATTCAGAATAAAATATAGGGCCTCATCTTCATGACATGAGATAGGAAGTGATAGATAAAGCACAGACTTGAAAGATGAGCTTGGGCTTCCCACTCTGTCGGGCGTGAATGCATCTTATATTCGTAAGCCATGAGAACGTTCTCCTCGTGACAGTGATGCAGAATCTGCCCCTCGTATGTGATTATCTGTGGGAATATTCTGTTCAGGTGGCCTGACATGAGCGGCTGCGTGCTCTGGGCCTGGAGAAACCCGGTGCTGGGCCCCGAACCCCCTGTGTGAGTCGGACATCTGTCCACTCCTGGGTCTCATCCTCCTCAGCTGTAGGGGAGTTGGGGCTGGGGGGGGGGGCGGGTGTCAGATCGTCTACAAGTCCCTTGGCGGCTCTGCTGGTCTCTGGGCTGTGCCAGCGGAGGGAGAGCCTTCAAAATGCCCGTAGCCTGTGCTGGGCATTTAGTGGCCCTTAGTACACATTTGGCAGGTGCCAGAACAAGCTGGGTGGCTCCTCAGAGGCTTGTGGTCTAAGCCTATGGGTGGGGTTGGGTGCTGCCTCTGCCCGACAGCGGTAAGAGTGGACCCCAGAAGACCCACCTGGGCCCAGCGTTCAGCCAGGAGGCCCCGTGCCTGGCCCTTCCCTGTAGGCAGTTCTTGGGGTCCTTTCCCACCTGCACCCACGGCTCCTCTGGTCCCTGGCCAGAATCTTGGTGACCACAGGGCCTCATAGACTCAAGTCTGCGTGACTCCAGGCCGCTCCCCTCCCCCAGTCCTTGGATGTGGTGGCCCTGGTCCCTCCCTTTTCTAGGCAGCTGGGGGATCTACTCCTGCATCCTCCAGCCCCCCGTAGTTGAGAAGACCCCCCCCCCCAGCCTCGCTCTGTGTCCCCAAGAGGGCTTCAGACTGCCAGCCAGCCAGGGGCTGGAGCCGCTCACCCGCATCCTGGGATCTGGGCCGGGTGCTGGGCCAGGGAGGGCGGAAGGACAGCCGCCCTGCTGTTCCCACTGTCCCGGTCACTCCAGCCATCAGTGCCGCGGGCCTCGCTGACTTTAACCACCGTCTCCTTTCTCTCTTTGAGGTGGGAAGGCCTGGTGCTCATCATCTTGTACGTGTTTTACATTCTGACCATGAAGTAAGTGCCCTTTTCTTCTCCTGGGCCGTCTGACACCTCCCTCCACATCCTGCTCTAGCCTTTTGTGAGAACAGGAAGAAAACCCCCATCAGCCTGTCAGTCACTCTGACCGGTCCTGGCTTTTGGGGGCCACCCCGCTGTGGGTGGCCGGAGTAGGGGAGAGATGTTCAGACACTGTTTCAGGGTGCTGTCCGCACCCGGGCCAGGGGAGTCAGGGCTGGTGGGGGAGACGAGGCCACTCCTCAGACGAGTACCAAGCAGGGACCTCTTTCCCACCCTCCTCCGGCCGCTGCTCCATGCCCCAGGCGACGCCTCTTTGTCGCTGGCTCTCTAAATCTCCTAATAATTTAACACCACTCTTTTCAAAGAGCCGGGCAGCTCCACGTCTGCTCCCGGCTTCATGAAATGACACCTCTCAGGGCCACCACCATGCACAACAGCAGGGGGCCCCACTCATGGCACTGAAGGTACAACACTGGGTCCTGGGTTGTGTACTCTTGAGGCCCTCCAGAAGCTGCCCAGGTCAGAATGATCTCCAGCTACTCATGAGGAATATGATTCAGCCCTAAAAAGGCAGGAAATTCTGTGAAAGGCTGCAACACGGATGAACCTTGAAAACCTTACACTGAGTGAAAGCAGCCAGCCACAAAAGGACAGATAGTGTCAGGTTCCGCTCATGTGAGGTTCCTAGGAGAGTCAAATTCTTAGAGACAGAAAGTCATTTAGACATTACCTGAGAGGAGGAAGTAATCAATGATTAACTAATTAATGGGCGCCAATTAATTGGTTAACTTAGGATGCTGAAAAAGTGTTGGAAATAGATAGTGGTGATGGTTGCATAACAGTGTGAATGTAATTCATGCCACTGAATTGTGCACTTAAAAATGGAAAATAGTTAAAATAGCAAATTTTATGTTATATATATATTACCACATTAAAAAGAAAAAGGAAAAACTACGCTGGAACTGAGCCACATTCAGATTTTATCTTCCTCTGTACATCTCCACGGGTGATTAAAAAAAAAAACAAGACTGAGTTTTATGAGACTATGAATCCTCACATTTATATAAAACATTTATAGTGTTTTATAAAAATGAGTGTTAGGGGACAGTCCAGTGGTGCAGTGGTTAAGTTTACATGCTCTGCTTCGGTGGCCCGGGGTTCACAGGTTCAGATCCTGGGAGTGGAGCTACACACCGCTCATCAAACCATGCTGTGGCAGCGTCCAACAGACAAAATAGAGGAAGATTGGCACAGATGTTAGCACAGGGCCAATCTTCCTCACCAAAAAAAAAAAAAAAAAAAGTGATTAAACTGTCAAACTCCAAGAAAATTGTCCTTAAAAGGTCTGCTCTTTGAGTGCCTTTCAGGGAGGCTGGCAGCCTGGGGCTGTGAGATGGAGACAATCTCTTCTCTGTGGGGGTGGTGGCCCTGGCTCTGCGTGATGCAGGGATGGCCCACTGGGCAGCCCACCGGAGCAAGACGCAGGGCTCTGGGAGAGAGGACAGGCCTCACAATGCCTCCTTTGAGCCCGTCCTCTAGGCTGGGCTGGACTTCTTTATTAGGACAGGTCGTGACGTGCAGTCAGTATGCATGGGTCAATCTCTTGGGCTGAAGGTCGTTTATGCCCTGGGAGGCGCACGCACGTCTCAGTAGGCGCAGGCCCCTCAGACTGAGGCTGTTCTGCGGTTCCTGTCAGGAATCTGTCAGCTCAGTTGGAAACCCTCGGCTCCCCACCTAGCAGCCAGCGAGCTGTGGGTGCACAGGGATCGGGGGACCAGAGGCCCCGGTCCACCCCTGCCAGCTCCCTCCCGCAGCTCTGACCTCCTGCCTCCACTTCCAGGTACAACATGAAGATTCAGGCTTTCTTCACAGTCAAACAAAAGAGCATTGCGAACGGCAACACGGTCAGCAGTGAGCTGGAGGATGGTAATGATTACTGTGATAGTAGCTCTGATGACCCTTCCGTGCCATTGCTGGGGCAAGGTAAGGCTGAGCAGACAGGAGTGGCCACAACCACTCTCCCTTCTCTTCCCGACACACGCTCACTCCCTCTAAATTGTCACGTCTCACCTTTGGCTGCAGGTCCCTGAATAAGGAGGGAGAATCACTTGGAGATGTTGCCCAGACTGGCGTTGGGTTAGATGGGAGGAGAAGGAAGGACAAGTCAGCAGTCCCCTCCCCGGGGAAGGCTCCCGGCCTGCTTGGCTTTTCTGAAAGGCAGTGAATTCCATCTCTGAGCCGTGCTAGGAAGCTGAGGCCTGGGGGGTGGCAGAGCAGGCCCGGGTCTCCCTGTGGTTTCTCAAATGCCAGGCCCGTTTCTGGAGAACTCAGATCTGAACAGACGTCCGGCTCATCACCCAGAGGAACAGCGAAGCCAGGAAAGGCAGCCACGGAGCTGAGCAGGAGTTCCCAGACCGGCCCCAGAGAGCCCGGCTTGGCGGCCCCCTCCCCTGGGGCTGCAGCCTGGTGTCCTCAGCTTCTCTTTGGCCCCTTGTCTGGGCGTTCTGGGCCTCCAGAGCCAGCCCCTGTCATCTCTGTCGAGTTCCCTGAATCCTGCAGGCCTGACCACCTGCTCCTCTGTAAACCCTCTGAGAGAGCTGTGGACTGGCCACACGAGGGCTCTTTCTCCCTTCTTCGCTGGGGCTTGAACAAGTCGCGTCCTCTTTCAGGCGACTTTAATTCCTTTGTGATGGCGGTGGTGGGACCAGGTGGTCTCAGGGACCTCTTGGCTTGAGTCTGGGACACATAGGGGCTGACGTCTCTATTCCCTGGCCCCCTCCCCGATCTTCACTCTAAAGTGGATCAAAGTGGGGGCCCCTCCCACGTGCACATTAGACAGGTATGTTCTGGTTACCTGAGACAAGTGTGTTCTGTCTCAGGTAAGCCCCTGGGAGGCACCTGTCACAGGTGCTGGAGTGAGGGATGTCCCCGTGAAACAGAAGGAGGAAGCCCGCTGGGCTAGGGCGTGGGTGCATCAAGGCCACAGCCTGGCTGCTGGAGGCCCCCCCACAGTGAGGGACAGAGAAAGGCAGGCAGAGCCTGGAGCTGTGCCTGCCCATGTGGCCTGGTTCATAAATGCAGGCAACCCCCCCACCCCCCCGGGGAGAGCCCGCTTCCAGGACAGCCTCCTCAGAAGGGGAGGGAACGACGTGGCTGCTGTTTTGGATTTCAGCTCCACAGACACAGTGGCGCTGTGGTCCCGCTCACAGGTCCCCACATACAGTCTCTCAGGACCCAGGCTGGCCCCTGCCTGGTCTCCCATGCGGAGATCAGGGCTCCTGGGGCCTCTGGACCTTCAGGGTGAAGAAGGAAGATTCCACACGCTGAGTCATTCGGGCTAGTGGGAAACGCCCTCTTCCCAGGCGCCAGCCCGAGAGTGGCTTACTGCCCGGGGGGCTGCGGAAGAAGCCCTGAGAACCAGCCTGTGCAGCACCCCTCGAGGGGACGGGGCCGCAGCCATTTCCCTCTGCAGGGAGAGCAGGCCGCCCTGAGGTCGCGGCCCCCGGGCGCCTCTGCCCTGGCCCCGTCTCCATCCCTGTTGTCCCTGTGACAGTAGGACTTACCCCACAGGTTGATTCTCTCCCTCCAGATCTCTAAGTCGAGGACGATCTCTAGAAAGTTGGAAGATGAGACACAGGGCTGCCCCCAGGCACAGGGGAAGAAGGGAAGCAGGTCTCCCTGCACCTTTATCAGCGTGGATGCGTTTGGCTAGAGACCAAGGAGGAAAAGGCTCAGGGAGCCGGCCTGGTGCTGGAGAGGTGGGAGGCCCAGAGAGGCAGCCTTCAGGATGTTTTAACCCCAGCAGTGGATGCCCCTTCCCTCCCAGAGGGCCGTGTGTGAGTCCCGGCAGGGCACTGTCCCCTAGAAGTACCCCGAGGCGGGAGGAAGGAGCCCCCATGAACACCCCCGGGGCACTGAGGAGAACTGAGCTTCTGAAGTTTGCCTTTTCTCACTGTTTTGCCACAGAATCTTTCCAGCTCAGAGCTCTCTGTGGCCCTCAGGCTGCAGGCAGGCAGGCCCCTGCCTGACCCCCGACCCAAGGGAGCCCGAGATGGCCGGCTGGTAGATGGTTTCGAGAACACACATGCGCACATGCAGCTTTGACCTTGCCTTTATCAGTTTTGGTGTTTCCCGTATAAAATTAGAATTTCAACCCAACCTCTTGCCAGATTTTGTGCCTTTTTACTACCATTCTTATAAAGCGCCTTTATGGACCTAAGTGTTCTTAAAGGTCCTGCGTTTCGGTTCACCAGATCAGCTCAGGCCGGTTTTCTCTTTTTCTGGGAGATGGCGTCCTCCAACTTGGTTCTGTCTTTGTTGTTTGGGGGTTTTTTTCCCTAAAACTTCTACAAATTTTTCACATCATGCTTCAATTCTGCTCAAGAAAGCAGAGCACAGTACACTGAGAGAAGGTCCCGGGGACTGGGCAGTGGGGGGCGGGTCGCCCCGATCCCTACCAGTGTTGGGAGTCCAGCCTCTCCCTGCTGGGTGTCAGGTGGCCTTGCACACAGCCTGACAGCCAGGGTCACCTTGACCACAGGCCGGGCCCACTAGGGGCCTTTCCCAGCTGCCCTGGCCCCGGACGCAGCTTCAGTTTGGAGCAGGGAGGGAGGGGGCAATACTGGCCTTGGGCCGAACAGCCAGAAAAACGTGCTGTCATTGGGCAGCCCCCCTTGACTTACCACCTGCCACTTGGAGCACGGCACCAGGACAAGCTGCCCTGGAGCCAGGTATCGTGGCTTCTGCCTCAGACCACTGATGCTCCATCGGCACCCTCCTCTGAGCCCAGGTGTTGCTCCAAGCGGTGCCTATGACTGGGCTTGTTCCATGGGCTGAGCGGAGTCTGGAGCCTGCCGCTGCTTTGCTGGGTTTCATCTCCTGACGGGATGGAGGCTCCAGAGGAGGGAGAGATTTGGGCTTTCCTGCAGCAGAGCGGGGGCAGGGGTCCATGGGCACAGGGGCTTCTGCTCTCAGAGTGGGACAGAGCCGCAGAATTCAGCCAGGAGAGGGGCCGTCCCGAAGGCCAGGGGCCCCGAGCATCGAAGCCCCCCGTAGCAGGAGCCCGTCTACTAACACCCTCCTCCAAATAACACCCTGGCATCTTGGCCGCCGTCAAGAGTGCCCCAAACTCTGGGCATCCACCGCGCTAAGCATCTCTGGCAATCTCTGCTGGCCTGTGTCTCCTTAACTCCTCCTCTTCCGAATTGTAAGTAAGCTGCTTTCCTTGAAGCGATAACACATGCAGTAAAAAAAAATCCCTGAGCCCAGCACACGCCTCGTCAGAGGTCAGTGTCTGACTCCAGCCCATGCATGGTCCTCCTGGCTTCGTCTAACCCTCGCGCCTCCTGTCTGCTGGGCCTTGCTGCCTGTCTGGTGAGGGTGTGCGTGTCTGCTGTGCATCCGTTTGTGTTTGTGCCATTAACTCGCATGAATTTGCTCTCGACTGCTCCTGCGGGCAAGGACGCTCGCCGGGAGCTGGGGACCCGTGCAGAGGGACGGGCGTGTCCCCTTTGACAGCCCCTCGGAGGGGAAGGTGGCCTGCTCGGGTGTGCTGTGTCCATGGGTGGTTCTGTGACGAGGCCCTGGGGCTCTGGAGTTAAATGTCACGTCCCCTGGGCTCCAGCCCCGAGCACGTCGATGAAGGTGGCAAAGAAGAGGCCCGAGGAGTGGGGAGATGTGTTCTTCAGCCGCGTGAGGGGACGCAAAGGGTCACAGAGAGTGGCCTCCCAGATGGAGGGTGTTAGTTTTATGGAAGACACCCAGCTTGGCCAGCAGCTCATGAGCTGTGCACTCTGGGCAAGCGGGCGCCCCTCCTGGGCCTCAGTTGCCTTGTCCAGATAGAGGCATCCTTTTGTGCTGGGCGGAGGTGGTCCCTCAAAGAAGATCCATTGCCTCGTGGCAAGTTTAGAGCCAGAGCTCTCTGGTGCTTTCCAGCATCTTCTACTCCAGGGGGCCCTTGTCAGTTTGTAAAGTTTCGTCTGAGCCTCTGGGAATAGGGGGAGGGGAAGATCCCCTCACAGTCACGGTGAGAGGCGGCAGGGACCCTGTCTATAGGTGGGCTGCCCTGGGAGGCTAAGAGGAGGAACTGAGACACCCTCGCAGTTAGCCAACACTGGGCCCCAGAGGAGGGGGGCATCCGTTGGTGGAAGGATTGGTGTGGGGTGTCTGTCCATGAGGGGCTATAGCAGGGGGACCACGGGCTCTAAGAGGCCGAGTCAGCCGGCGCTCCGGAGCCAGTGGCACACTTTGGCGAATGTGAGGAGCTGAAGCGAGGCTCCCAGGCCGCTGCTGGGACCACAGCCCCGGGAAGTCCTAGACCCCAGGGGAGGTCAGCCGCCCAGCTCTTGGGTGCTGTCCCCAGGGGCATCTCAGCACTAATCCTGGCGTTGTGCTCAATATAGTGAAGGAGGAGCCACCGTACGGCAAAAACCCAGTGGTGATGGTGGACGAGGTTCTGAGCTCCAGCCCTCCCAAGTTCAGCTTCCCGGAGGCCGGCCTCCGCGTGATGATCACCAATAAGTTTGGGCCCAGGACGCGGCTGCGGATGGCCAGCAGGATCATCATTAATGAGGTGAGTGTGCGTAGAGGACCCTGAGAGCCGATGGGGGCGTGTGGGGGGCGGCCCTGGCTTGTCGGGACGCTGCTGGTGTTGGGCCACCAGGGCGTCCTCTGCCGGGCTGGCGTTGATCACCGCACCTGTTTAAGGAAGAAGCCGAACATCCCCCCCAGGCAGCCAGTGGCCCCAGGGGGTTGAATTGAAGGGAGGCAGCAATCGAAGACCGTGCCGGAGACGGTCCACGAAAGGTTTTCTCAGACCCTCGCGTTAAACTGATTGGAGAAGGCCAGTCCGAAGTATGGATAGTTTCTTTAAAAGGTTATTTAGGTCAAAACAAGAGGTGTACACACCTGTTCTCCAGGGCTAGAACGATTCTAGGAGGAAACCGAGACACTGGTGGATGGCGGTTACCTCTGGGGACGTCCTTCCGCTCTTACCCGTCTGCTCTGCTTGGATTTTGTGCCTCGTCTCTTTCTTATTTGGAAAAAAAATTAAATAAGTTTGAATATTATTTAATGTGCAAACAGTATAGCAAAGCTAACAGGCTTATTGCTTCCCAGCTTCCCAGCCTTCGCTGCGGATGTGCATCTTGGAGTTTTCAGACCATAACCTCAGACCCAGGTGGTTACCAGAGAGCTGGAAGCTTCCATGGCTGACAGCCGGTAGTTGGCACACTGGTGCTTTGCAGGCATGAGATTGCACGCTGCCGAAAGGTTCTGCATTTTGATCATTTCTGCTTTAATTTCCGACGTAATGTGCCCTCTCTGTGGAATGTGTATTAAGAAAGGGAAACATTGCAAGCTTGGAATCTTTTGGAATTATTTTGATCCAAATCGGTAAAATTTAAATCAGTGAAATTGTACCGAATCCTGCCCATTTTTTGTGAGGGTGATAATTGTACCCGCTGCGGGTGGGAGGGGGGTTTGAACAACTAGTAAGGATTCAGGGGATGTAGGTGTATAGTGTGTTTTTCATGGCGTATGCAGCCAGGGACATAAAGGGGTTTGGTGAGCCGGCGCAGTGCTCGTTGTCATGCCCCCAAATGTTTGAAGCTGCTGGGAAAACCTTGTTTTAGCCGTTAACTCGCTCAGTCTTCCTGGGCCTCAGTTTCTCTGTCTGAGGGTGGCGGGCGGGAAGGCCTCCAGCTCTGAAAATCTCAGTGACGCACAACCGAAAGGAAGCTGAGCGGTGTCATTGGGGAAATTGATCTTGGAAGGGGAGTGGGGAGAATAAAAACCCCAAAGTGCCCAGTTTCGAGGTTGTCTCTTAAGACCCTTTGGTCTCATTTTCTCTTCAGTCATTTAAATTCCAGAATGTTACAGAGAAGTCTGCAAAGCTGAAATTAACCGGTGGTAGAAATGCCTATGGGGCGAGGCCCTCATTTGCTCGTCCTCCGGGAGGGTTTGGGGGATGAGTACTGGGAGGGGTGTGAGGGGCGCGGAGGGAGGGCTCTGCTTTGCCTTCGCTCCAGGGCTACCCCTGTCCTCACTGTCCTCACCCACAGCCACGGCGATGAGTTGCCAAGGGGCCCAGAATTTCACCCACCCTCAGTTTCCCTTCCCCCTTTGTGAAGCCGTCCCAGCTGGTCCTCCACCTCCTTCATCCCCACAACTCTCTCCTTCTCATCCCACACCCGGATGCCGGTCGTTTGGAGCTGGTCCAGCCAGCTGTAATTGACCAGCTCCTGCTGTGCGCCAGGCAGGTGCGGGGTCTTACCTGTGTTACAGCGTTAACCCTCTTAATGACCTTCTGAGCCAGATGATGGAGTCTCCAATTTATCAGAGAGGTGAAGTAATTTGCCCAAAGCCACACAGCTAATAAGGGCAGAACAGGAATTCCGACCCAACTCTGAGCCTAGACTGCAAAAGGGAGACTGCATAGAGTGTTAGGGGTCAATCTAGTCCACCTCCCCTACCCCCTTCTCCTATATCTTTATTCCCTCTGTAATATCCAGCCCCTGCTCAAATTGCTTGTTATTGCTTCTTCCATGTGGCAGCCCTTTGAACATCAGACAGCACCCCCGTAATTTTCTCCTTGAGTCTAAACATCCTTGGGACCTCCCATCCTCTCAGATGTGGCAGGGTTCCAGTCCTCACCATCTAGTTACTCTCCTGTGAAAACCTTCCTGTTTGTCTCTCTCTACATGTGGATCCGTCACCACCTTTGTGTTCTAATCTATGCCTCTTTTAATACAACCTCAGATAGCTTTAGATATTTTTTCCAGGGACAATCCTTTGTTGATTGCTGTTAAGCTAGTCATGACCCTGTCCCCTATCCATGTTGCTACTAAGTTACACTCCCTCCTTACAATTCTGTCTTTGCACAGCTAATTTTTTTTTTTTTTTTTTTTTGACTATAAGGATGACCTGTCATTTAACCCTACTTGGATAACACAATACTGTGCCTCCAGGTCTGGGCCTGAGTCTCAGGCATGGATCGTTTTGCTCTTTTTGGTAGGCTAAATGTTGTGGACACACTTGTAAGAAAAAAACCTTTTAAATTTCTACCCCACCCTGGACTTCATGATTTAGGAGTCCCTGCCTAAAACTCACATGAAGGCAGTTAAATGGTCGATTCTTCTTTCTCTTAGAGAAATAGCATGCTTCCATTTTAAGTGAGAAGGACGTTTTTTTACTTCCAGTAACACAAGGATGGGCGCTGGGCGCACGCTTATAGAGTGTGGCCTTGGGGACACGTTTACGGGCGCTTGGTCTCCTGCCGAAGTCGTTGGAGGGAATGTGTGTCCGTTGTGTGACCAGCATTACCCACAGGGCCTCAAGCTGCCCCGTAAATATCTGTAACGAGGGTGAGCTGTGCAAGGGCAAGCAGATTCCCGGGGAAGTGGAGACCTGGTGATTTCTTGGAGCGTAGCCTCTGCCTTTCCCTGGTTTGGCGGAAACTCTCGGACTCGGCGAGAAAGACCAGCCTCCGCTCGGGGGGGAGGGGGCAGCCTTTGTCAGTAGCTGCAGTGAGATGGGGCGGGGAGGGGACGGGTTGGTTCAGGGCCACCCGTTAGACGTGGCGAGACTTGGACGGCAGAGGCTCTCCAAATGGCCACTAACTCAGTAAGAGGCTCACCATCGTTAGTCGTCGGGGAAATGTGGGTTAAAACCACAATTAGACACCACCACGCATCCGCCAGGATGGCTAAAATTAAGAGGACAGTACCAGTGTTGCCAAGGAGGGACAGCACCTGAAATTCTAATCCATTGCTTGTGCAAGTGTAAAAGCTTATGACCTAGCAATTCCACGCCTAGGTAAATACCCACGGGAAATGAGAGTGTGTCCACAAAAAGACATGTACACAAATCTTCATAGCAGTGTTCTTCATAATAACTGCAAAGGGAAAACAACCCAATGCCCATCCACAGGCAAAGGATCCATTGTGGATTATTTATACCAGGGAATACTATACACCCATGAAAAATAATAAACTACTGATTCGTGCAACAGCATGGATGAATCTCATGGATATTAGGTTGAGTGAAAGAAGCCAGGTATAAAATAGTACATCCTGTTTGAATCCATTTATATGAAGTTCAAGTTCAGGAAAAACTAATTGATATTTATAAAAGAATTGTGGTTGCCTTGGTTACATCTGGAGAGAGGGGCACAGAGACAAGGAAGTGTCTGAGGGCGTCTTCTAAGGGGCAGGAAGCGTTCTCCATCGTGATCTAAAACATCATTGAGCTGTGCACTTTTTTGCATGGTGTATCTAAAAAGCAAATTAAACTCGGCAGGGCCTCTCCTGTGACTGTCTCAGGTGGCTTCTAAACATCCGCTGGGGGGGGCGGAATGACCACTGTCGCCCAGTGTCATGGGCTGGGCTGTCATCAGGCACAGGAAGGGGAGAGCTGGGGCTCTGAGCAGTCCCCAGGGCTTCCTGGTAACGGTCCCAATGGAAGCGAGCAAACTTGGGTCTATCCCAAGGTTCTCAGGCCATTTCCCAAGCAGACCGACACCCAGGAGTGTTGTTCTAGAAACCTCTAAGGGCCGTGGATGTAGAAGGAACAAAGCCCCAGTGCGACACTTTGTCACACGTCTTGGCGTCGCTCTTGCCTCCTGTCCCCACAGCGACAGAGGCTGATCAACTCAGCGGACGGCGTGAGCAGCAAGCCTCTTCAGAATGGGCGGCACGAGAACATCGAGAATGGGAACGTTCCCGTGGAAAACCCCGAAGACCCTCCGCGGGAGCCGGAGCAGCAGCCCCCGCCGCCCCCGGAGCCCGAGCGGGTCGAGGCTGCCTTCCTGTCCCCCTTCTCCGTGCCCGGTGAGTTCTGCGGGGCGGGACTCCACGGGGACCGAGCCCAGGTCTTCAGGATGGGGAGCTGGACCCGTGAGGGTGGGGAGGGCGGCTGTGAAGGGTCCACACTGGGTCACTGGGTGCTTAGGAGGCACCCGGTCGTCACCCCGTCAGCGTTGAACCGGGGATCAGAGCTGCAGTCAGACGCAGGGACTGCCGAGCGTGGGGAGGCTGTGTGCCCGACAGCAGGCCCGCTGGGGACGTGGCAAGTCCCAGGAACCCCTGTAGGGCCCAGGGCCGCTGGTCTGTCTGTGGCAGTAAGAAAAGCAACCACCACCGTTATTTTTATGGCCACGCGCAGAGTCTCCACCCCCTCCAGCCGGGGCACGCTGTTTCGCCCGTGCATTGCTTATTTGCCAGGACAGGATATTCCAAGGCCACAAATGGTCCTTAGATGGTTACACTTCATACAGCTGACGACATCTCCTACCCATAAATAAGTCAGATCAGACCACGACTCTGCCCGAGCTCTTAGCATCCTCCCATCTCACTGACCTCAGAGGCCCAGTGTCATCTCACTACCGGCTCTTTGTTGACCTCCGCTTCTGTTCTTCCCCCTCCTCTGCCCTCTGCTCCAGCCACACTGGCCTCCTCGCTGTCCTTCCTAGAACTCACCAGGTGTGCTGCTGCCTCAGGACCTTTGCACTTGCCCTTTGCTAGAATGCACTTTCCCCACCTATGCATATAGCTGACTCCTTCACCTTCATCAGGTCTCTGCTTCCATGTGGCTTTCTTGCTTCCCTGACCACCCTATTTGAAGTATTTTATGTGTTTCTTATCTTGTGTATCTCCCCCAAGTAAAATGTCAGGTCTACAGGGCAGGGATCTTTGTCTCTTTCCTTCACTGCCGTGTCCCCAGTGCCTGTGCCTGACGCATGGTAGGTCTCACTAAATGTCTGTCAAATGAATGGATTCAGGAGTTCGCTTGCGAGAGGATCCCCAGACACACGCAGTCTGCCTTCATCTTTCACCAAACTCCTCTGCAGTCTGAGACGGGAAGTGGCGGCCTCTGCCCTTTGGCCCCAATCTCGGAGGGTTTCCTTGGCGTCCTGCCATCGCGAGAGGCAGCAGAATTCTAGGATTTTCATGTCCAGAACTTGATGTTTTTCTGAAAAGAACTCTGTGTTGAACATCAGGCTCTCAGAGGACCTAATTTGGGAGGTGACTGTAGGGGCGAGAGGCTGTGCAGTTCCTTGCCCCCATCTTTATGGGAACACTCCTGTCCCCAGGTGGGTGGCGTGGGCGTGCTCAGGCCGCGATGTCCAGCCACTGTGCTTCGTCATGGAAATGTGGGCTCCGCTGGGAGTCACGGGGCTTCCTCGGAGCCTCTGGGTCAGAGCTTCTGGGGCGTGCTGATCACAGCCACTCAGGGGCTCTTCCCAAAACTCAGGGCCTGGGTCCAAAACCCCGGCTATTCAAAGACGGGAGCGGGGCCTGGGAATCTGCACTTCCACACCCTCTCTGGCTGAGGCCTGGGTCCTGGCCGCGTTAGGAGTAGCTGCCCCTGGTCAGCACCTCCCAGCGCTCTTCCACATGAAAGGCAGGCCCAGGAAATGAAATTCGTCCCTGCACTGAGGTCACGCAGGAGCCCAGCTCCCTAGACCCCTCTGCTGACCAGAAGCCTGGGGGAGTCTGTGTCTCGGCCCGCCTCCACCACCACCTGGCACGTCAGCACACCTGCCGGACGCTCTGTGGGAGCAGAAGTCGTGCTCAGCCAGCTTGTCTGGAGGGCTGAAGGTCACACTGCGCTGCGTGGGAGCTGGGCCCCTGGGGCCGGGTGTGGGACACAGAGAGGAGGGGTGGTCTTCTCCAGACCCAGGAACCTATGTCAGTGCCCCTGTTTGTAAACACCAGGAGAAAGGAGATTTCTGCGGGTGAGATCATGGGAGGGCAGTGTCCACCCAGAGGAGAGCCTGCCCCCAGGCGATGACCCAGCGCGGGGCCCCACCCAGCATTTCTTACTCTGTGTTCATAGGAGGTTCCGACACGGGCCTTGGATCTGGAGCCCTGGGTACCCCACACAGCCCCGCAGCCCCACGTCCTCACGTCACCAGCCCGGTTCCTGTCCCCAGTCCACGTGGGGCCGAGTACAGGGACTTGGGGCTGCGGACACCAAAGGGGTTTCCTCGAGGCCTGGAGACCTGACACCAGAGAGGCCTGGAGTGTGGTCACAGGGAGGGAGAAGCAGCCACGGTCCCGGGAACAGCCTCGCTCGCTGGGGGAGGACCGAGAAGGGGGTCCGGTTCGGTGGGTTCTGTTCTCCAGCCCAGGATGTGGCTGTCGGAATCCCCATTTTACAGAGGTGGGGCCCGATGGGGCCACTTCATCTGAGTCCTGGTCCTGATGCTGCGCGCTGACTAGGGTTCTCCAGGAAGCCCGAGAAGGGATGTGCCCTTCTTGGTGGCCGCTACTCTGTCTAGTAAGGCGGCTCTGTGTAAGGTCAACTCGTCTTTCCATTTCCTTAAAACCTTGAGTTTGGCAGGATTGGGTGGGGTGGACCCCAGGGCCTACCGCCCCCTCCCCCGTCCTTGTCCCCAGACCTGCTGCTCCCCTGGGAAGTGGCTGTGGGGAGTCGGATCTACTCCCTGCGGGGACTCTGGGTGGGTCACCTCTCAGGGTGAGGGTCTTAGATGCTCTTCTCTCACAAGGGCTCAGACCAGAGAGCTCCCACATTCTCTGCACCCGGGAGTCCTTCTGGGGGAGCTCTGCCCTTCCTGGCGGGGCAGGACTTCCTCTTGTAATTGGGCCACCTCCTTCTTCAAGCTGAGGCTCCAGGATGTTCCCCTGGGCTCGCCTGCAGCAGAGCCAAGGGCCGAGAGCTGCCGCCCAGTGCTCGCCTCTTCTTGTCCTCAGGACTAGGCCGGGGCTCTCCGTGTCCCTGCAGAAGTGTCCCTTTGTGTCCCTGTGGATGTGTTTCCAGATGTTGCCCTTAGAAACCACAAGTCACTTCCTCGCCCTCCTTGCAGCTCTTCTGTGTTGTGGAGACGGGCTGGGGGCCGGCTCCGGCATCCAGGAGTCCTGGGTTTGCATCTCAGTTCTCCCACTTAGCAGTGCTGTGGCCGTGGGCAAGCTGCTTCACTCCCTGAACCTCCGCCCCTCATCCACAAATCGGGGCGACGGCACTTGCCTCCTGGGGTTGCGCCGGGTAGTAAGTAAGATCATGGGCCGCCGCCTCTGTGCACTGTCTGACACATAGTAGGTCCTCAGGAGGTGTGAATTCGGGTCACAGTGTGCTTGAATCCCGTGGCTTCTGTTAGCCCCAGCTTCTCGTATCCTCTCCTGGTTGGGCTGCAAACAGTATTCTAGGAGGGTCCCAGTGGAGACCGGGAGCCGGGTCCTCCGAGGGTCGGGGAGAGGAACCAGCATCTCCCGAGCACTGTTGTGTGCGGGCACTGGGCTGCAGACACTGCAGACAAGATGATTCCAGTCGGTGGAAAACAGCACCACACTCTTCTGGGCTTTGGGGGTCTGGGTGGGCACAGGACAGCCCTGGTGTCTGCTCTCTGGGAGCTTCCGGGCTGGCGGGGCAAATGCAGGCAGATAACCCCTCCGTGCACTTTGTTCATCATCTCCTTCCCGGTCACACCGCCGATCCCGGAGGAGGTGGATGCGCCAGCCTGCAGCCCGGCTCTGCCCTCCTGCCTGACCAGAGTGCCAGGGCACCAGGCAGCCTGGCTCTGGGGCTCTCCTGGTCTGCTGCTGGATTTGCATCAGCACCGAACGCACCTGTGCTCTTCCCGCTCTGGGCACGGAGGCTGGTCCTTAGGCCTCCCGGGCCGGCTGTTGGCCAGGGAAGAGGAGGGGGAGGAGGAGTTCTCTCTCCTAGGAAGCTGTGGCCTCCAGCCCTGGCACTGCCCTGAAGTGGTCCGCCGGGGAATGCCCTGCACGCAGGCTGTTTGTGGCTGACTTACAGTCTGACCGCAGCCTGGTCCTCCCACGGGGCTTCTCTCTGTTGCCCCCAAATGGGTGAGGAAGTCGCATCCTCTGTACTGGGATGCTGGTCCTCACCTCTGGGCTGTTTTACAGCCAGCATCTATTGGTGATGGGCTGTGTGTTAGACCCTAAGTGAAAAATGGGTGATTCTTACGGGGCTTCTGTATGCCACGCCCTGTATTCCCTCATTTAATCCTCACCACACGTGAGGTGGGAGCGGTTCTCTCCATAGACAGAGAAGGAAAGGGAATCACAGAGAGGTTAGGTGACTTGCTGGTGGTTACCCAGCTCCTAAGTGGCAAGCAGCGTTTCCAACCTGGGCAGCCCGTGCTAACCACTGTGCAGTACTGCCTCTTTGTTCTGTGCACTTTCCTTTAACCCTCACAGCTGCCTTGTGAGGGAGGCCTTAACATTATCCTCATTTTGCAGAGAGGAAAACTGAGGCTCAGAGAGGTTATGGGACTTCCCAAGTCACATAGCCATTATGCGGGGAGCCACTCTTCCACCCTGTGCCTCCTGAGCTGTGGACACCATCCTGGCCTGGTCCAGTGGAGAGCAGAGTCCCAGACCACAAGCCCCAGGCCTGTCACTGAGCGGGTGAATGGCCTCAGATGTATATGTACCCTGGACCCACAATGCGGTTCAGCTCATTTCAGTGGAGGGACTGCGGGGTGCATGTGGTTTCACAGAGTGCAGGCCTGTGGAGGTTCTGGGAACAGGAACAGGAGGTCAGACCTGGTGAGAACTTACTGTGGACCTGGGGAGGTGCTTCACACATATTAGCTCATCAAGTCCTCATGCCAGCCCTCGAAGGTGGCTACTTTTATTGTCCCCATTTCCCAGGTGAAGAAACTGAGGCACAGAGAACTTTAGTTGCCCAAGGTCACACAGCAGGAAGGGGCAGAGCCAGGATTTGCACTGGCATTCTGACCCCACATGTGCTTAGGGGACAACACTGTCGGCCACCTAATGGAACGTTCCGGCTCTCCGTTCCTTTGGAGCCATGAGGAAGTGCTTGCTTCTGTCCAGGTTGT